AACCATAGGTAATCCATTGTTAAATGCCCAATCAAATGTACCCAATACTTTGTCAAAAAGAAGATAACAATCACCAAAACCACATAAATTACTAGTATAATCCCATTGTGTACCATCACATGGATACAAAATAATGGCAAAACAATAAAAGACCATAGGATAAATAAGACAAACAAGAAGTGGTAAATTATGTAGAAGAATACGCATCCAAGAGATTCGCAGAATATGTCCATGAAAAATAAGCATATGTCGTTGAACAGAAATTGTTGCCATTAAATATTCACTTGTTACATAAAGAGTAAATTCAAAGAATGTCCACCATGTACAAAAAGTTGGTGTAGCTGGATTGACATAACCAAGATAATAGAAATGAAGTGGAAGTGGTAATGCAAATGATAATTGAATGAAATTAACCAAAAGCAAGATAAATAAAGCTTTATTATGTGGAGCACGAAGATCGGCTCGATGTTTAATAAAAAAGACAAATATGAGAAGAGAGAGTATAATGGCTGGAATTTGTAGCGAAAGTAATACTGAAAATTTCACACGATGAAGTAGAAACTTTTTGTCTTCGAATACTTCTATGTTAGTATTATTCATTCTTATGACTTTTTACAGCATACAAAACTGATGTAGTATTTTATGTGAAAAAACATGGAATGAACATCAAGATTATCATTTTCTCTTTTTTTTTGTACTCATTTTTGATGATATGTGACATTCTTTTTTTCTATTGATATTGTTACTATAAATTCATACATGTAGATTTGTTTCAAGAATCATCATTCAACTATGCAATGCAACCAACTGGAAATCGTCGAGAAGACCATGAAAAGAGAAGCTCATCTAATACGATGATGAGAGTATTCAACACGTTTCTGTCTGCTGTTCTCACTATTAATGAATGCCATTGTTCGTTCTTGCTTGAGCTAGAATCAAGTCAAACCTTTTTTTCTAGTACGATTAGAAACAGAAATAATGCGACAGAGTCGCAGGTGCATATTTTTTCAGTCTAATGCTTGACTCTTTTGCGCAATGAAACATAGAAACTAGTATTTGATAAAGAAATTGAAATATTTTCATCGTCTTTCTAAGTCAATATCTTTCTTGTATTGTCTTTAGTTTCACTACTGCCTAAAAAGAATCTAGACTTTATGTGTTTGGCCGCAGATTTTCGTTTATAGGCATAATTTAGTACTACACGAACGGAAATAAAATGTATTAAACGGATCTGCGTATCGATCAGATATTTTTAAACTAACCAGAATGAACACATGATAACAGAAACATGGCTTATAAGGTGACCGGCTGCTAATGTCACATCGAATTGTTTTTTCTTTGTTTCATTTGTCAGTACACTGATTGTTTTTCAATACTATATAACTGTTGTCAGTATGATTCACATCAATTGATTAATGCAAAAATTTATCGTTTCTGTCCAGCTCAAGAAATAAACGGACAGTTTTATTGTCGAACTTGTTTATTAACGATATTCATTTTATGGGCAACATAATATGGAATCCTATGTTTTTCATCGATTGACACTTTTTTATCGACAGAATATGTTGTTGAAAGTGAATTATTTTATTCTTCTCATTTTTCTCACATCAGAGCATAACTTCAATGGTGTCTCCTAATTAAATTTGCTTGGTTGTTGATGATGAAAGAATGCCAGACTGCCATTGAATAGAATTACATGTTTGTTGTAGAAAAGCGCTTTGTAAACAGCTTCATAGTGCGCTCTAGACTATTGTGAACCCTTCCGTTTGTCCACAAAACTATGAAGAATAAACAGTTCAACACATTTTGCTTTACCCTCTGTGTCCAAGAAAATACTGTCAACGAAAAACAGATACCCATCTGAGTTTATTGGCGAAGTGATTTGTCGATCAACGACATAGATACTCATAATAAGAGCTGTATCGTTTTTTCTTTTTTTTTACTTAGGAATCGTTTCCAACAAAATTTAAACATAGCACATTGTAGATCTTTCTTTTGGTAGGGCGGACTTCCTCAGAAAATCCAATTTTGGTCAAATATACCGATTTTTGTGATTTATTGCTCATTAGATAGAGCAAAGCATATAGTTTCGAATGCACTATAGCCGTTTGGCTTCATATGAAGATTTATGGATGTTACAGAGGTTTTTCGGAAACCACCTATAAAAAAAAATAACTTTTACATCTTCATGTACATTCATTAGATTTATTCTAATCAGGAAACTATGAAAAATTATTTGAAGATTCTTTTTATATCAGTTTATGAAGGAATAAACCTTGAATTACAGTATTGAAACGTATTTTTCATTTTTCTCAAGTATACTATTTACACAAGCACACCTTTCTTATTAACAACTCAAGATAAAAATGATAAATTTGATTAATTACATAGCACGCAGTTAGGGCTAGGTCGCAATAGAGCCTGATTTTTGAATTTCTCTTTTACTGACATAAAAAAACCTGGATCTCTGTTTTTAATTCGCAATTTTTTTGATCACTAATTTAAAAATTTTTCGAAAAAGTCTTTTTCAAAAACAAATAAAGAGAAATTCAAAAAATCAGGCTCTGTTATGACCAAATTCTATGTCTACACTACAATTTAATAACCATACTGAAGAAAATAATATACATAAATGACTTTTTTCAATCCATCATCAGTAAC